GTGGTTGAGCATCAACTTGTGAACCAGGAGGTCACGGCTCAATTCCCGGTCAGGGCACAGGCCCGGGTTGCGGGCTCCATCCCCAGTGTGGGGTGTGCAGGAGGCAGCCGATCCATGACTCTCTCTCACCATCGGTGTTTCTTTCTCTCTCCCTCTCCCTTCCTCTCTGAAGTCAATACAAATATATTTAAAGAACAAAAAACAGGAAAGGAGGTGGGCTGTGGATTTGGCCAGGCTGGTGTCACGGGGGTTATTGTTATGATGAAGATGGATCCTCGTTCCTTCTGGTGACTTCACTGGGCAGATCTCTCCTCACCCAGCCACTCCGAGTCGGCCACCTCACTGCTGGGGCGACGTCCAGGGCGGCCAGGGGCCTCGGCGCCCCCCCCCCCCCCCCTCGGTTCACACGTGTCTCCCTCCGCCTTCTCCTCAGGGGCCGCACTGGGGTCCTCCCTCATCCTCTGTGTCGGGGGGCTCATCTCGCAGGCCCTGGGCTGGCCCTTCGTCTTCTACATCTTCGGTGAGTGAGTCGCGTCTCTCACCCTCCTCACCCTCGACGCCGCCACATCCCGGCGTCCGGCCACCTTCCTCCCGCGGGACAGGCCCCGTCCTCTGTTACCTGGGAGGTGGCGGGAACGGGAGGGGCGGTGTCTTCGTCTAGTCCAGGAGGGGGCCATGCTCAGGTGTCTGCAGAGGGTGACCGATGGCCGTCGCTACTGGAGGGAGGGTAACTGGAGAGCTGTAGCTAAAAGGGGATTTGTGGAGCCCGGCCAGCGTGGCTCAGGGGTTGAGCATTAACCTATGAACCAGGAGGTCACGGTTGGATTCCCCATCCGAGCACAGGCCCCAGTTGAGGGCTCGATCCCCAGTGTGGGGCGTGCAGGAGGCAGCCGATCCATGATTCTCTCTCATCATTGATGCTTCTATTCCTCTCTCCCTCTCTCTCTTTCTAAAATCAATAAAAATATATTTATAAAAAAATTAATTAATTTAAAACAGGAGATTTGTACAAGAGTTGATAGAGCCGTAACTAGTTTGGCTCAGTGGATAGAGCACTGGCCCGCGGACCGAAGGGTCCTGGGTTTGATTCCGGTCAAGGGCATGGGCCTTGGTTGCAGGCTCCATCCTCAGTCGGGGGCGTGCAGGAGGCAGCTGGTGGATGTTTCTCTCTCTCTCTCCTCCCTTCCTCTCTCTAAAATCAATTTTAAAATATTAAAAAAGAATTGACATGAGGTGGGAACGTTGAGGTCCTTGGGTGGAATAACCATGAATTGGCGTGTGCGCGCGTGTGTATGTGTTTACATGTATGCATGTGTGCACGTGTGTGTGCAGGTGTGTGCGTGTGTGTGCGCGCTGAGGTCCTTGGGTGGAATAACCATGAATTGGCGTGTGTGCGTGTGTGTGTGTTTACATGTATGCATGTGTGCACGTGTGTGTGTGCAGGTGTGTGCGTGTGTGTGTGTGTGTGTGTGTGTGTGTGTGTTTGGGGGGAGGCAATACCACGTCAGACAAACTCCCTCCCGCAGCCCACAAATCCCCTGAGAACTAACTGCGTCCGGCTCCCCAGGTGGCCTGGGCTGCGTGTGCTGTCTGCTGTGGTTCACCGTCATTTACGACGACCCCACGCGTCACCCGTGCATAAGCCTCCGCGAGCAGGAGCACATTGTGTCCTCGCTGGCTCAGCAGGTACCTGCACCCCTCCCCACGGGACCCGCAGAGGTGATGGGCGGGGCTCCCAGCACCTGCACCCCTCCCCCCGGGGCCCCCGCAGAGGTGGGCGGGGTGTGGAGGGGCCCTCTGACCTCCAAACACCCACGTGGATGCGCTGTGTCCTCTCAGCCCACGTCCCCTCGACGCTCCGTCCCCCTCAAGGCCATGGCCCGCTGCCTGCCCCTGTGGGCCATCTTCTCGGGGTTCTTCAGCCACTTCTGGCTCTGCACCGTCATCGTCACGTACCTGCCCACCTACATCAGCTCCGTGCTGCACGTCAGCATCAGGGAGGTGCGCTGCCCACCGGGAGCGAGGGGCGCGGGAGGGTTGGCTCCCTGCTCCCTGTCCGTCTGGCTTTGCACACACCCATCAACCCTGGAGGCGACCTTGAGGGGCACCCTAAGGACCCCCAGGGGACAGGCGTGGGGACGGGACACGCAGAGGTGAGAGGACGCCCGGGATCACAGGGCTGCTCAGGGACAGGGTGCTGTGGTCTGTGCCCCTAACCACCAGGCTACCTGACCACACCTCATTCTTTTGGGGGGTTGTTTGTTTTATTTTTTGTTTTGTTTTGTTTTGTTTATTTTGTTTTTCTCTCACACCTCATTCTTAATTCTTCAAGTTCTCTCAGGGATTTATACTGTTTGCCCTCACCGGTTTGCCTCAGTGGCTAGAGCATCGGCCTGCGGACCACAGGGTCCCGGGTTCGAACCCCGTCAAGGGCACGTACCTCGGTTGCAGGCTCTTCCCCAGCCCAGGCCCTGGTCGGGGCGCATGCAGGAGGCAACCCATCGATGTGTCTCTCTCACATCGATGTCTCTCTCTGCCTCTCCCTCTCTCCCTAAAAATCAGTGGAAAATTATCCCCGGGTGAGGCAGGTGCCGGGCCTCTCACCTGAGACGGTGACACTAGTTCCCCTAAAACGGCTGAGTGTCGGAGGGGCTGCCGTCCGTGGGACGCGGTCTCACCGGTTGGCTTCCTGCCCGCAGAGCGGGGTCCTGTCCTCCCTGCCCTTCCTGGCTGCCTCCACGTGCACGGTCCTGGGGGGCCAGCTGGCCGACTTCCTTCTGTCCAGGGACCTCCTGGGGCTCCTCACCGTCCGGAAGCTCTTCTCGGCCCTGGGTAAGGACAGGCCCCGGGCTCGGGGGACCCACCCTGCTCCGCGTCTGGTCCGAGCGGGCCCTGACCGTCCGCCCCGCCCAGGCCTCCTGCTCCCGTCGCTCTGCGCCGTGGCCCTGCCCTTCGTGGCTTCCAGTTACGTGACCACCGTGGTTTTGCTGATCCTCATTCCTGGGACCAGCAACCTGTGCGACTCGGGGTTCATCATCAACACCTTGGACATCGCCCCCAGGTGAGACCTTACCTGCTGGTTCCGCCTCCAGGCCGCTCGCTGCAGGGGCGTCCGGCCTCCGTCCTGTCATGAGGTGGGTTTTTGTTTGTTCGTTTTTTAACTATGTTTTTATTGATTATTTTTTATAGAGAGAGGAAGAGAGAGAGAGAAAGAAACATTGACGAGAGAGGAACATCACTGATTGCCTGCCTCCTGCCTGACCCCCATCAGGGATCAAGCCAGAAACCTGGGTGTGCGCCCTGACCGGGAATCGAACCCTGACCTCCTGGTTCATAGTTGGATGCTCAACCACTGAGCCACGCCGGTGGGCAAAGGCAGTTTTATTTTTATTTATTTTTTATTTTTATATTTTTATTGATTTCAGAGAGGAAGGGAGAGGGGGAGAGAGAGAGAAACATTAAAGGTGAGAGAGAATCGTGGACCGGCTGCCTCCTTCTCCCCCCACACTGGGGATCGAGCTGAAACTTGGGCCTGTGCCCTGACCATTTTGACCAGGAATCGAACTGTGACCTCCTGGTTCATGGGTCAGTGCTCAGCCCTGAGCCCCGCCGGCCGGGCCTGGGCGCTCCTCATGCCCCCCACGCCCAGTCCTCACAGCCCCACGAGGCAGGCGGGCTCTCTTGGGGCAAGAAGGTCAGGTGACGTGCCTGAGGCCACACCAAGGCAGAGCCAGGTCTGAACCCAGGCGTTCTGTCTGGAGCCGGTTGTCCTGTCCCCTCCGCACGCCGCCAGGGCCTGGGCCCCGGGGACAGCGTGGCTCCCTGGTTCTAGTTCTGGTGGCGTCAGGGCCGGCACAGGTGTATGTGGCCCCAAATGTCTCGGGGCGAGTGAGACACCGCCCGCTCGGAGCTGAGTGGCGGGAAAGCCGTCCTTCCGCCGGAGGAAAGGCGCCATGAGCGCTGGCGGCGAGCCCGTGCCATCCTCTCCGCAGGTACGCCAGCTTCCTCATGGGCGTCTCCCGGGGATTCGGGCTCCTCGCGGGCATCATCTCCTCCACGGCCACCGGGTTCCTCATCAGCCAGGTGGGCAGCGCTGAGTGTGTGCGAGCGGCAGGTGCTGTTTTGGGCCCGGGGGGCGCACAGTAGGGCCTCTGCGCTCCGGGACTGTGTGGTCTGAGGGCAAGGCGGGCACGGATGCTGACACGCTGCTCTGCTCCGAGCAGGACCGTCCATGGGCTCCGAGAGGCCAGGTTCCTGGGGGGTTGGGGCGGGGCGGGGAGGAGTAAGAGACAAATTTCTAAAAATGAACGACATCGGGTTGATGGAAACGAGCGGTTCGGGCAGAGAAAAGCGGCTCAGGGTGAGTTTCTAGAGATGCACACGCAGTGGAGGTTCTCGGTGATGCCAGAGTGAGGGCAGGTTCCTTTTCTTTTTCAACCCTCAGCCGAGGACATTGTTCCCGTTGGTTTTCAGAGAGAGTGGGGGGGGGGGACAGAGACACCCCGATGTGAGAGACACTCGACTGGTTGCCTCCCACACGCCCCTGACCAGGGCCCGGAGCCTGCAACTGAGATATGTGTCCTTGACTGGAATCGAACCTGGGACCTTTCAGTCCTCAGGCCAAGGCTCTATCTACTGAGCCACACCAGCTAGGGCGTGAAGGACAGATTTCAAGGTAGGAGAGGAAGACGGGCGAGGGGAGGTGATGAAGAGCCTGCTCAGAAAGGCCGGTTTAAAGAGGTCCGTCCTGGCGGACACGCAGGGGGCGTGGCAGGAGGCTGGCTCCACGGAACGTCGGCGGAACCCGGCCTGGATGGGAGGACGAGAGTCAACGTACACAAACATTTTCTTTTTCTTTTTTTAAAAAAATATATTTTTATTGATGTCAGAGAGGAAGGGAGAGAAAGAAACATCAGTGATGAGAGAGAATCATGGACCGGCTGCCTCCTGCACTAGGGATCAAGCCCACAACCCGGGCCTGTGCCCTGACCGGGAATCCAACCGTGACCTCCTGGTTCATAGGTCGACGCTCAACCAATGAGCCACGCTGGCCGGGCATGAGGATGAAATCTTAATGATGTCCTTTTAAGCATAATTTTCTATGAGGAATAGGGTATGTTCATGACTATTGAGATCCCAAATCCAGAAAAACATTCGCGTAGGTGAATTAATTCTGGTTTAAAGAAAAATAGAGTCGTTTTCCTTCCAAGTTTCATGAAACCTCCAATAACCCAAGACACGTGGCCATCGCAGGGCATGCCCTGTGTTCTCTGGGGTCAGCGTGTCACCCCAGCACGAGGGCTTCCGGCCCTGGTGGGGAAGGGCCCCTGAGCACAACGACCCTGGCTTTCTCCCCAGGACTCCGAGTCCGGGTGGAGGCACGTCTTCTTCCTGGCTGCCGCCGTCAACCTGTTCGGCCTGGTGTTCTACCTCACGTTCGGGCGGGCGGAGCTCCAGGACTGGGCCAAAGAGAGGGCCCTCACGCGCCTCTGAGGGCCCCAGCGCAGACGTCGATGTGGGACGCGGACCGCCCGCTTCCCAGCGTTTTCTTACTCGTCTTCACTCTTCACGTTCTTCGCTTCGCGGCCGGCTCCGCAGGTCACACCTCCGAGTGTGAGTCAGATTTCCTGGGGAGCCTCTGGAACATGCGGATGTGCGGGCGCCGCTCCGAGAGCCCGAACACATGGGTCTGGGGAGCGCCCCGACATCAGTGAGTCTTAGACACCCCCCGGGGCTCTCACCCAGCCAGGCCAGCAACAGCTGGACACGCTTGAGACGCCAATTCCCCTGCCTTTGTTTTCTGTTTTGTTTTGTTTTGAATGTATTTTTATTGGTTTCAGAGAGGAAGGGAGAGGGAGATGGAAACATCAACCATGAAGAGAATCACTGACCAGCTGCCTCCTGCATGCCCCCCACTGGGGATCGAGCCCCAAACCCGGGCATGTGCCCTGACGGGGAATCGAACCCTGACCTCCTGGTTCACAGGTCGATGCTCAACCACGGACCCACGGGCCGGACAATTCTCGTTGCCTTTGACTCTCCCTCTGTGGACAGTGCCAGGTGAATAGGACTCCCTGTGGGAATAATGACTGGCTAGTTCTCCCAGGGGTGAGATCTGCCGGGACCTGTGCCCATGTCAGAGCCGCACCCAGGGCAGCGCGTGAACCCGTCACCCTGGCAGGAACGGGCCTGCTGTGCTGATTGTGAAACCTGGGTGTTTATTCATGGGGTTCCCGTCTATTAAAACTCGGACGCTGAAATGAAAGAGACCCTGTTCCGGTTATTTGGGATCCTTCCCATCAGGCGACACAGGTGTTACTCCTCCTGGCTGCATCCCAGGAGTCGCGACCAGGACACGACCAGGAGAAGACGACCCGGCCGAGGTTAACGGGACGTTAACGGGACGTCGGTGGAAAGAGAAGGCGGGCGCCTGCGAGCAGGAAGGAGGTGAAACGGGTCTTTCGGGAATGGAGTCAGCGAGGGTCTGAGGAAGGCCTAGCGGACACCACTGTGGAAGCCGCTGGCTTTTGATTTTCGAGCCCATGCGGGGCCGTGGGCCCTCGGAGTGGCCCCCAGAGTACAGAGGCCTCGCAGAGAAACAGCCGACAGCCGGGGGACACCTCATCCAAAGGCCAGCCTTCCTCCCGTGACAGCGGCTCCGTTACAACACGGGTGGTCACTTGGCCTCGGACTTCAGATGAGGGTTCGGAGCCTAATTAACGAAAAGCTTTCAAAACACAACGGGGCCCGCGCTGGTGTGGCTCAGTGGATAGAGCATCGGCCTGCGGACTGAAGGGTCCCGGGTTCGATTCCCAGTCAGGGCCCCGGGTTTCGGGCTCAATCCCCAGTGGGGGACTTGCAGGAGGCAGCCGATCCATGATTCTCGCTCATCATGGATGTTTCTATCTCTCTCTCCCTCTCCCCTCCTCTCTGAAATAAATAAAAACATATTTAAAAACAACAGCAACAAAAAAACCCACAATGGGCCACAAAACACCCAGAGCTGCGGCGCCCCCAGGTGTGCGGAGGATTGAGGGAGGGGTCTGAGCTCACCGCCCACCATCCTGCAGGCGGCCCCACTTCTCCCCTAAAATCGCTGATGAGCTGATCACGGGCTCTGATTAAACGCAGCAGCGACACCGGGCAGGGCCTGCCCTCCGTGCGCTGTGGCCTGGCCTTCCCGGAGGTGCCCGGACTCTGCACCTGGACCCCCATGGCCAGGCCTCCTGGGTCCCCGGAGTGCCTGGTGCCAGACGGGACCCTGGCCCCCTGCTAAGGCGGGTCCTCCTGTTGACGTTACCACAGAAACTCCCTGCTCTGGGCCTGGCCTCCCTCTCGCTGACGTGTTTTCCAGGATCAGTCTGGGCACCGCGTGCCTGCCGCTGGCTCAGCAGTTCGGGTCACCGCCCCTCGGCCCCTCCCCGGCCCACTCGGATTTCACATTTCCCGCTGCCCTGGGTTCTGCTGGCTCCCGTGAGCCCCTCCTCTCCCCAGACGTGTACCTCCCTCGCTTGTCTCCTCTCATCTCAGCCTTCACGCCCCCACCCGGGACTCCCCGCAGGTCACGGTGCCCAGGCCCTGACTGCCGGGCGCTCTGTCCTACCCCCTGGAGACTCCGACGCTCACACTCCCGCCCCAGGAAGCCTGGGAAGCCTCCCGGGCAGTCAGCTGGCCGCCTACGCGGTCCTGCTCACATCTTATTTCTAAATACATTTTTATTGATTACAGAGAAGAAGGGGGAGAGAGAGAGAAGCATCAATGATGAGAGAATCATGGGGCGGCTGCCCCCTGCACGCCCCCTCCTGGGGATGGAGCCTGCGCCCCGGACATGTGTTCTGACCAGAAATCAAACTGTGACCTCCTGGTTCATAGGTCGTTGCTCAGTCAACCACGGAGCCACGCCGGCCGGGCCCTGGATGGTTCTAAGGCCCACATTCCTCCCCTGAAGATTCAAGGCAAAGGTGAACGTGAAGTTAAAAATTAAGTTTTTAACTTTGACATCATGAGGTCAAAGGATTGGGTGAAGGCTTTGCAGGGCTGACACGAGCGCGTCCAGGCAAGCAATAGCGCGTAGAGTTGGGAGGAAGCCCTCACAGGGGAGGGAGGAGGCCTTCTGTCCTGAGCCAGGCCCGTCTTCCTCTCCTGCCGCCCATGGAGTGAGCCGAGCAACCGGCGGGAGGGCCTCGCCATCACCGGTCCCAGAAAGGTACTTCCAATCCATCTGGGGACGGTTTGCTGGGAAAATCTATTTTCACAGGTTTTCACAAGGGAAAGAGGGAAGAACACGCATCAGGGACGAGTGTGCAGTGGGTGGCTGTGAGGCTAGACTCGGAAAGAGAATGTGTGGTGGTGGGTGTGGTGCTTGTGACTGAGCGGTGTGCTGGTGAGGGTTTGGATCAGTGTGTCCGTGGGGGGGTGTGTGTGTGACTGGGATGTGTGTGGAGGGTACAGCTAGTTTCGTGGATGTGCTGTGTGTGATACTGAGATGTATTTGTAAGTGTGGAGTGTGTGTGGAGTATGTGTGTGTATGTGTGTGTGGAGTATGTGTGTATATGTGTGTATGTGTGTGTAGAGGGGATGTGTGTGGAGGGTACAGCTAGTTTCGTGGATGTGCTGTGTGTGATACTGAGATGTATTTGTAAGTGTGGAGTGTGTGTGGAGTATGTGTGTGTATGTGTGTGTGTGTGTGTGGAGTGTATGTGTGTGTGTGTGTGAGGGGGGAGTGTATGTGTGTGTGGGGAGTGTATGTGAGGCTAGACTCGGAAAGAGAATGTGTGGTGGTGGGTGTGGTGCTTGTGACTGAGCGGTGTGCTGGTGAGGGTTTGGATCAGTGTGTCCGTGGGGGGGTGTGTGTGTGACTGGGATGTGTGTGGAGGGTACAGCTAGTTTCGTGGATGTGCTGTGTGTGATACTGAGATGTATTTGTAAGTGTGGAGTGTGTGTGGAGTATGTGTGTGTATGTGTGTGTAGAGTGTATGTGTGTGTGTATGTGTGTGTGTGAGGGGGGAGTGTATGTATGTGTGTGTAGTGTGTGTGTGTGTGTGTGTGTGTGTGTCAGCGAATGCAGACCTGGGCCAGCAGCCACTCTGTCGGGGGTCGGGGTGCAGAGTGGGTGCTCGCCTGGTGCGGTGACGCTCACAAGGAGAGCCAGCAGCTCTGCCAACACCTAAGGGAAGAAAGGCATTTCTCTTCCCGACGTTCCTCCTTCCTCCGGTGCCTCCGCGCTCCTGGCCTCAGCCGCATCCGTCTGCCTAGAACGCCCTGAGGCTCCCTGTGGGCAGTGGGGGCCTTGCTTCCGGCTGTCTGACAAGGTCTTCACGTCTCTCACTTTTGAGGGTTACTCTCACCGGATATAAAACCATGGATTAGCAGGGCTTTCACTTTGCCGTCTACAGTGTTCAGGTTTCCTGTAATCAGCAACAACGACGACAAAACCTCAGAAATACAACGTCAGAGGCAGCACGGGGTGGAACTGCGTGGGCACCGTGACAGCCTGTTTCCTTTGACGCGTCGTTTAGATCAGAGGGGAGCCGGGAGGGGTGGGGTCAGCTCTCCCCGGGTCCTGCTGACGTCAGTGCGTCTTGAACTTGCAGAGGATGGAGAGCAGACCCTTTGGCGAGAGGAGCAGCAGCCGGACCGCCGTGAAGCAGATGGACGACGGGTCCCCGTCCAGGAGAGGTAGATGTGCTCCCTGACCCCTCCCGCGGGCCTTCTCCTTCTTGGGCACGCACCCCAGGGTCCAGGCGAGAGGAAGCTTCCGTAAGAGCCTGTGACGGGTCTGAGCTCCACGGCGCGGCTCAGTGGTTGAGCGTCGACCCATGAACCGGGAGGTCACGGTTCGATGTCCGGTCAGGGCGCTCCATCCCCCCTGGGGCGTGCAGGAGGCAGCTGATCCATGATCCTCTCTCATCATGGATGTTTCTATCTCTCCCTCTCCCTCCTCTCTGAAATCAATAAAAGTATATATTATTAAAAGTACAATATACCTGAGCCGAAGTCCTTGGAGGACTTAATTCTCCGGGACATTCTAGATGGGATTATGTCTTAGGGGCTGTGGGGTCATGACATCAGTCACACACCTTCCTATGGGGCCACCAGGCTCAATACAATTTCAAAATAACACCTGGGGGCCCCGATTTCCGAGGGGCCCTGCCTACAGTGAGAAGCGTGTGTGTGTGTGTGTGTGTGTGTGTGTGTGTGTGTGTGTGTGGCCTCAGCTGTGTTAACGTGGGTGTGTCCTGCTCTCCTTCCCAGTGTCCGGCTTCTGTTCCCTCCGCTGCGGGCTGGCCCTCCTCCTGCATTTCTGCAATGTCTCCATGATGTCCCAGCGCGCCTGTCTCAGCCTCACCATGGTCGCCATGGTGAACGGCACGGGCCCCCAGGGCTCGCCCAACACCTCCGCCCCGGAGCCCCTGGACGACGTCAAGGTACGTAGGAATGTCGTTCACACTCACGCGTTGACCACCCGGCCTCGCTCACCATCTGTGTACAGAGTGGATGCTACCGAGATCCGTGCGACAGGCATCGCGAGGACACGAGCCCACGTCTCCACCTGCCTCGCCGGTTCTCACCTATGGAACCGTGTCCGGGGCGGGGGCTGCCCATCCCTGGGCCTGGTACCGGATTTGCGGAGTGAGACTGCGCCTCCTCCTCCCTTTCAGAACCCCGTGTACAACTGGAGCCCCCAAACCCAGGGCATCATCTTAAGCTCCGTCACGTACGGGATGCTCATCACCCAAGTGCCCGTGGGGTATCTGTCCGGAATCTACCCCGTGAAGAACATGGTCGGCTCTGCCTTGCTCCTCAGCTCCCTGCTCAGCCTGCTCACGCCGCTGGCGGCCGGGGTCGGGGAGTCCGCGGTCATCGCCTGCCGCGTGGCCCAGGGGCTCAGCCAGGTACGTGAGGATGCGGAGCCTGAGCAGCCCCCGGCACACGCGAGTGTCGGCGAGGACCCGCCTCTGCTTCTCGTTGCAGGGGACGGTGCTGGTGGCTCAGCACACTGTCTGGACCAAGTGGGCACCTCCGCAGGAACGAGGCCGGCTGACCTCTCTGAGTCTATCAGGTAACGGCTCCCGCCCGGATGCTCGCATCCCATGGTTGTCTCCTGGCGTCTTTACTGTGTGTGTGTGTGAGAGAGAGGGGGCGGGGGAGGCAAATATTCTTTTCTTTCCCTTTTTAAATATACATTTATTGATTTCAGAGAGGAAGGGAGAGGGAGCGAGAGAAACATCAATGATGAGAGAGAATCATGGATCGGCTGCCTCCTGTGCGCCCCCTACTGATGATTGGGCGCAGAACCTGGGCCTGTGCCCTGACTGGGAATCGAACCCTGACCTCCTGGGTCATAGGTCAACGCTCAACCACGGAGCCATGCGCTGGGCTCTCCTTCGCTTCTGATCAGGGTTGTGCTGTGCAGAGTGACGCCACGGAGAGTGGTCGCCGCTCCCAGGAGCCTCTTGTCTTGACGTCCCGACGCCGGTGCTCACGAGGCCTGTTCTCTGTGCCCCTGGTTAGGGCTGATGCTGGGACCCTCCGTGGCCCTGTGTGTGACGGGGCTCATCTGCCAGGCCCTGGGCTGGCCCATGGTCTTCTACATCTTCGGTGAGTCTCCTGTGAAACCCCTGTCCTTATTCAGCCTTTAAGACAAAGTTAAAAAGAAGAACGGGAGATTTGGTTTTGGGTGGTGGGCACACGGTGCAAGACACAGATCTGGTTACATGGAAACCCATACGTGAAACTTATATGTTCATGTTGACCCACGTCACCCCAATCCGTTTAATAAATAAATCATAAAAGAACTGAATAAATACAGCTTACATGAGATTAATGAGGTTGAAAATGATGCATTTCATGAAGGAAAGAGAGATGTCAACATTCGTTGATTTCTTTTTTTTTTTAATTTATTTTTATTGATTTCAGAGAGGAAGGGAGAGATAGAAACACCAAGGATGAGAGAGAATCCTTGATCGGCTGCCTCCTGCGTGCCTCCCAGTGGGGATCGAGCCCGAAACCCCAGCATGTGCCCCAACCGAGAATCGAACTGTGACCTCCTGGTTCATAGGTCAATGCTCACCCACTGAGCCACACCCGCCGGACTCCTCTCTCTCTCTCTCTCTCTCTCATCTCCCCCCCCACACACACACACACCCTCCACTCTCTCTAAAAATTGATGAGAAAAATATCCTCGGGTGAGGATTAAAAAATAAAGTGTGAGCCTGTTGCAAAGTCTCAGAAGAGAAAGCGGAGGCCCAGGCTTTCCTGCCGCGCTGAGCAGGGCTGTTTGCAGAGACGCGCCGGGGAGAGCAGCATCCGGCTCTCACGGCGCTGCCTCCCCAGGGGCCGGCGGCTGCACCCTGAGCCTCTGCTGGTTCCTTCTGTTTTACGATGACCCCGAGGGCCACCCGTGCATCAGCCCCGCGGAGAAGGAGTTCATCGCGTCCTCCCTCGTGGAGCAGGTAAAAGCCGACGCCTCACCTTCCAGATCCCGAGCCAGGGGAGCGAGCCCCCTCCTGGCCCCCACGTGCTAACCACGGATGATGGGCTTCCTCCCAGGCCGGCTCCGTGGGAAAATCCGTGCCCATCCGGGCCGTGCTCAAGTCTCGGCCGGTCTGGGCCATTTCCCTCGGCTGCTTTGCTTTTTCCTGGACGAATCACGTCATGTTTTTGTATTTGCCGACTTTCATCAGCTCCAAGCTCCACGTTAACGTGAGAGAGGTCGGTATCCCCTCCGTTCTCTTTTCTTTGTATAGATATATATTGACTTCAGAGAGGAAGGGAGAGGGAGAGAGAGAGAAACATCAATGGTGAGAGAGAATCATGGATCGGCTGCCTGCTGCCCTGACCAGAATCAAACCCCGACCTCCTGGTTCATAGGTCAAGGCTCAACCACGGAGCCACGCCGGCCGGGCTGACTGTTTCCGATCGTTCTCATCTCTACCACGTTACAGGGCCGGCATGTCCCACTCTCGGCCTAGTCTTCCTCTTACTACCTGCCCAGTCATGTCAGGTCCTGTGACACTGAAAATAATAAAAATAAAACAGACAGATGGTGGCAAGGGCCCCGCCCTCCAAACGATTGTCCTTTCTTTGGGGCGTGTGGCCCCAGCACTCACGTGGGCGTTGGGTGCTGATGGCTTCACAGATGACGGCGCCGATTTCAGATACTGAATTTCTTTCTTTTTTAAAAAAATAATTCTTTTTTGTTGAAAATATTGCATATGTGCCCCTTTCCCCCATTGACCCCCCTAGCCCGCCCCCCGCCCCAGGCCCTCACCGCCCCCGTCCGTGTCC